CCCCCCCCCCCCACCACAAACAAATTTATTTCGTTAATATTTCCATTAAATATAAATATATATATATATATATATATATATATATTTTAGTTATGAATTAATATGATTGTGAATTTGCATTTTTAATATCATATTTTACAATTTCTTAAAGACTAATTTAATACCACATTCCAAATGCAGGAACCAATTTATGTATTTACTCCACCAAGAAGTACCAAGTACCAACTAGAGTTATGGGAGGATTAATCGTCCCTCGTTTGAAGGATCTTGCATTACAAGTTATATTAGATATGCAATGTGACATAGTGACAATGTGACATGTCACTTTCTTGTGTATGTGTGTGTTTTTTTTCTTCTGATCCCATGTGAACCTCTCTCGAAGGACGAGACCCCCCAACCATAAGCCAGACAGGTACATGCTTGCTCACCCTCTCACACCTGGACTCTAGCTATTTTCTGGCTCCTGGTTTTGGTGCATCTCCAAAGTGGTTTATGGTTTAGGGGATATTCTTTCTTTTCTTTCTCATTTCACCGGTTTAAAAGTGTTGCATATTGCATTGTTTGAGGCTAATGATGAGACTAATCCACATGAAGGTGTTTAATCTTAAATGGGGTGGTTAGGTTAAAGCCAAGGGCCCATGGGCTCATGCTTATGATTTGCAAGTGTTGCTTTCAAGGGAAAGAAAAGAAAGAATTTGGCCCTTTTAGAAGATTGGTGTTCTTTCTGAGAGGCTTTGCAATTTGCAACCGAGGTTTGTCATTATGCCATGCTTTATTGGTGGGGAGGGCATGTAGTAGTCTTGTAGTTTCATTACAATATTACATTCATACATTGAATTTTAGTCAAAAGGGTTATCCACTTTTTAGTGATTGATTTCAGAATCAAAGCATAGAGTTGAGTGTTAGTAAGATTTTTTCCTAAACTCTTAAACATGTGTCTTCTCTTTGTTGAAATTTGGTTTTGATTTTGTTTTTGTAGCCCATTGGCCACTGGCCTTCTGATGTGATTTTCTGGGCTAGATATTAGTTACTTTGGACATTGAGCATTCTGGGGGGTTGAACAAAGTTAAAAGTGTTTTCAATGTGATTTTTTGAGGACAAAGATGAAATCCTTGAGTAGTGTAGGCCTTGGTCTGAGTATTATTTTTGGTTGCCTTTTGTTGGCTCTGGTGGCTGAGGTTTACTACTTGCTATGGTGGAAGAAGAGGATAGTGAACAGAGAGATTGAAAATAATTATGGCAACCCTGTGAAGGAGTTATTCTACATGTTTTGTTGGAAAAGGCCATCACCATCTTTGAGGCAAACAAGTTTCACTCCTGAGCTTTGTTCTTCAATGAGAATTGGTGACACCCTTGTTCATGACCCTGAACAAGTTCACTCTCAAAGTGGCCATAAGGACTTTGTTTTCAAACCCTTTGGGGAGGATGGCATGGATTCTGAGTACATGAGGCAACAAGACCTGTTAGGCCCTCCAAGATTTTTGTTCACCATAGTGGAAGAATCAAAGGAAGATTTAGAATCAGATGATGGCAAATCTAAGTGTGACAAGAGTGGAAAGGGTTCAAGAGGTAGAAGTTTGGGTGATTTGCTTGTTGTGGAGACACCATATATGACACCTACTACCTCTCCACCTTTTTTCACTCCTCCTTTCACTCCGATGAGTCCCTATAACCAGCACGGATTCAACCCTCTATTTGAAACAGCAACTGATGCTGAGTTCAACAGATTGAAGTCCTCACCTCCTCCAAAATTCAAGTTCTTGCAAGAAGCGGAAGAGAAGCTTAGAAGAAAACTAGAACAAGATCATGAAAGTAAGGGAAATGGAGATGAGGTTGATGGCTCTTTCATCACAATAGTTGTTGACAAGAAAACAACAGGAGAGGTTAATCATCACCAGCCTCGTCCACAACAGTACCATTCAAGCTCTTCTTCACAGGTTCTTCCCTTAGCTTCTTGACACATTCAGCAAACCAGAAGAAAGAAACCAGCTAACACCAAAGTTCTGTCAGTCAATTAAGAGTTCATTTCTTCATTAATATCTTTCTAATTACATGTTGAAGAATTCCACTTTTTTTGTAATGGGAATTTGTTTCCCCCCTTAGTTGTTTTGGGATGAAGTTGTGGTTTAATCTGCTAAGCCACTTGTGAATGAAATGCACTCTCAATGTTTCAAAACATATGGGGGACAATATTTTCTGCCCATAAATGCTAAAAGGTGGGTTTAATGCAATTGCAATTTTTTCTTCTTCTTGTTATTAAAGTTTCAATGCTCACGACAGATATTTCCATTTTAATAGATATGATGCGAGAAATTATTAGGTAAGTGTTTATGATTTCATAATACAGATTAGAAGAACTTCTTCTTTTTTTTTGGTATCGAAACTTTCAAAAAAATTTCTAAATTTATATCTCACCCAATTTCTATGAGACATACATTTAAGTCTTTTAATTTTTTTTTAAAAAATCACTCAAGTACATCTTATAGATTAATCGGCAACATACTACATAGGACCACCTATTGATTTTTGGCATCTGACAAGGTCATTGTTATTGTTTTCATTTAATTGTTTTTTCGATGAGATGGTCCTACCTCTTCCATACATGCAGCTGTATAAGGGTCATTGAAATAATTCTATGAGGGTCTTTGCCATTTCTTTTTTCTCTTTACTAGCCAGTGAATGAGACATATGTTAAACCAACGTTGTCCCATGTCATGTTTTTCTGCTTTTTTGTCACCATTTTTACCCACTAAGCATTGTAGCACAAAACATTGCCTACCGCATGATCAAAATTTGGTGAAGATCAAAGAAGGACACGTGGCATGCATTGAATAGTTCACGGTGAATCAATCTGCATACTGGTCAGAAAAATCACCACTGAAGAATGTGACAAATTTGGTAGAAGAGAGGGTCTGGTTTTGTGGCTTTTTGGTAAACAACAAGGGGTGCAATTGCCCGTGAATATGTCTCGTGGGTCATGACCGAAAGTGCCATCTTTTCTAACCCCACCACCACGTTGAAGAATCATAACAGGTCAGAATAAAGAATAAAATATGGCTTTAAGCATAACTTTTGGTGAGATCTTTTTATGTTGTAAATCCAAGCGTACACACACATATATATAACTATCAACCATTCAGGTTCAAGTAAACACAATAATATCTACATTTTTTTAGATTCATCGATATTGTTTATGTTGTTGGCTCTTTCAAGTTTCAACTTGTCTTGTCTAATTAAACACAGATAAATGACAAGTGGTGGAATGTACAAGAATAATTTTATGGAAATGACTAGGGGTGGATTTGTTTGGTTACAATGGAGGGAAAGATCTTAATTAATCAAAATTAATTGGTTTTGTCTGACTTAGATTGAGGAAAAACTTCAACACACTTGGACCAGACCAATTTAATGAAGAATAGTTTGGTTCCATTTGGGTAATGATATTAAGAAAGTATAGATACTTTAAAAAATATGATAAATCATAAAATTTATCTTAAAAATATATAAATTTATTTATTTGAAAAAAATGCTAAAATACTTATATATATATATATATATATTAATTATATGTGTGTATAATACCAACATCAAAATTGACCAATAGACCAATTTTAGTGAATTTAAGGGAGTATATTGGATTAAAAATTTAATAGATTTTAAAATATTTTTTTATTATAATTTTTTTTGTGATATTCAATCAAGACAATTAAGAAATTAAGAATTTTTTAAGAGTCTGTCAAAATTTGATAGTATCTGATTAAGACAATTAGAATTTTTTTAAGAGTTCACCAAAATCTGGTGATATCCAATTAAGATTTTTTTTTACTTAAAAAATGTCTATTTATATTAAAAAAAATATAGAGATTTCAATAAATTATTTTGAATATCATATTTTGTGACTTTTTAGCATAATTTACATGTAATTCACTCATCAAATAATTTTATTAAAATTTTTTAGATATCATACTTTTTTTCTTTCTATTTTTACTCCTTTTTTTTTTCTTCTCTTAAATCTTTTCTCTTGTTTTTCTTGTTTCTCTCTTATATTCTTTTTTTTCTTCTCTCTCTCCTCTCTTGCCATTTTTTCTTTTCTCCTTTTCTTCTCTATCTCATTTTCTCTTTTATTCATCTATCTCATTTATCTCTTTTTTTTCTTCTTCTCATATTGTATTTTTCTCTCTCCTTTTCTCTCACCTTTCTTACTTCTCTTTCTCTTTATTTTCTATTTTTTTTTTCTCTTTCTCTTTTTTTTCTTCTTCTCCTATCTTTTTTATCTATCAATTGATGTATAATTTATCAATATTTATTTTTTAATTATTAAATATTTAAAATGATTTTCATATTATTAAATATCATCTATTGTTAAAATTTTTAAATTATTAAAATTTAACTATTTATTTTTAATCAAATTTAATATTAAAATATAAAATTTTGAAACATATATTAAAAAAGACTTTTGAAGGTCATGGTAATGACCCTTAAAATGAAAATAAAGTTTTTAATTTATGTCATATTCTTAAGAAATGTGATTGAAAGAATATTTAGCATTTTTAAATCACACTTTATAATTTTAAGTCAAAGCCCCTATTTTTATTTAAGACACAAGTTAAATTTGTTATTAGCATGTAACAATATGTAATTTTATTAGTAAATAATGTCATTTTGATGAATTTCTAATTAAATTAATGTTAAGTCTCAATTTTAAAAAAAAAAAAAAAAAAAAGGTGTTAAAAGACTTTTTTTCCCCTAACATTTCCCTAGCATACAATTCAAATTGCGCATTTTTAACCTTTGATGGATTGTCTTTTTTCAAAAAAGTTCTTGCTACTACTCAAAGGGAAAATAGATTCTTTACCATAGAAAAAAGGGAGAAATAGTTGGAACTTGGAAACCTTGAAAAAAAACAAAAAGTAAAACAAGAGTTTCATTCTTGGCCAACTTACTAGAATATACTGTTTTCTTTTTCCTCAAGATTCTTGAGCAACAAAAGTGTTTTATTCTGATGACAACAGCAGCTTTAGTTGATGTTTAATATTGTGCCCAATTTTCTTTTAGCCCTAAAACATGTATATATATGCCCCAAAGGTTGGCAAGCTTCAAAGCTATCTGCACTATAGGAAAATCGAAAATCTAAAATTTGTTAATTCGTTTTTCATACGTGTGCCTTTTTAATTAGACGAGGATTCATCCCTGATTTAGATACCAAACCCTAATTAAAGATATCACAAATGAAAAAAAAAAGAAAGTACCGGCACTATGAAGAATTGAAGATTATAATAGGCAGACAAAATTAAGATGAGTTAATCACTTATAAATGGTCAGTGTAAAGTTTTTTTACATTAGTAATCAATTATATTTTTTAATTGTGTCATATCACAAAAAATATATTTATTTTTAATAATGACATAATATAATTAAAAAATATAATTGATTGCTAGTGTAAAATTTTTTCACTGACAGTGTATAAGTGATTATCTCTTAAAGATATTATTCATTTTATTTCTTCGGAAACTTGGCTCCTTGTTGTCTTCTGTTGTCAGAGATGTGTTGGTGCAATGTCACCAAAAATAAATGGAGGTAAATTATCATCTCATATTCTCATGGTTATGAATTTAGCTCCTCGTGCTAAAGTGATCGACAACAGAATATTAACTAATAATATTCTTAACACATTCATGATGTATGAAATATTAACTAATAATATTCTTAACACATTCATGATGTATGAAATAGAGGCGTAAAAAGTAATCTGACATAATAGTTTGTCGAATTGGACCAAACTTTTTGTTTATTTAAAAAAAGGCCTAAAATAGATAATATTAATAATTTGAAGATCCAAAACTTATTAAGTTTATTTGGCATGATATTTTAAAAAAAAAAAATTATAAACATTAATAAAAATAAAAATAAAGCAAACACTTTAACTAGATTCACCGGGCCATTAAACCAGAAAATTAATAAGAATTTGCCTCCCCAACCCGCCCGCTTCACACTTGTTGTTAGCCTGATATGACTCATTTAAAAACTTATTGTACATGTATGTTCATATAATATTAACTATTAATTATTGATTCTCTCTATTTTTTTACCCTCTAAAATAAATTGATAGTGATTTTCTTATTAAAAGTAAATTGCCCAGCATAGAAGAAATGAATTTTTAATTATAATGCAAACATTGACTATAATTACATTATTAACTTGTGTCTTCATATTTTTTTATTTGTATAATTTTACAATTATCAATTATTATGCCAAATTTCACATTAACAATTAATAAATCATTAATTTGAGTGGTATTGAACTCAATTTTCTTAAATAAAGTTTCGGTTTGAGTCTTATGTAAAAAAAAATATGATTAAAAAGACTCCACCCAAACTGATGAGTCATGTTTCTAGATGAAGATTATTCATTGACAAACACAATTATAAAAAAAACCAAATTAACATATTCAGTAGTAAGCTCAGTTAAAAAAAATAAAGCCATGTTCTAGATAGAAGAAACCTAATAACCTGAATTATGCACACAAATACAATATACAATACAATGAAATTTAAAATTTACACTCCACCTGAATTTGAAAAAGAATTCAAAAGAAAAGTCCATTAAGGGTGGATTAGTTCTGAGAACTTCATATAATTTGCAAGAAGTGTTAGGTATAAATGGTGTACCCAAAAATAAAAGCATCCATTTATAATTCTAAGCTAGAGTCCCGTTGCAGCATTTTCAGTAATTCCTAGTTCAGAACAAAGAGATCTCAAGCCAGATTCTTCCAACAGGCTGAAAGCAGTAAATCCATAGAATGAGTGGTACAGATCAGGAAACTCTCCAGGTGATTTGCTGAAACCGCCATACTGGTGAAAAACAAATATCAACACCAAAATATGAGTTTAAAATCTAGTTCAATTAATGATATCACATAAGATAGCAAGTATAAATAAGATAGTTTCACAAATTAGGACCAAAAAGAAATTAAGTTAGTCAATAAAATTAGAGATTGAACTCATTCCTTCCTTGTTTTTACTCCCTATACCCCTCTCTTTTCCATTATAAAATTAAATAATTGTTGTTCTTTCAACATCATTATATATCATAGATGCTCTTTTACTTCTTTCATAGAAAATATGGCTAATGATACAAATCTTTTTCAACTAGAATCAAACACAAAACACATAATCAACAAGTTGTTGGTTCGAGAAATACTGGACTCAATCTCCTTAAATAAGATCTTAAGATCTCATATTTGAGTCTTATTGATAGAAAAATCATAATTGAAAGGAGAGACCTCACTAAAGATGTTCAATCATATTTGTGACGAAAACTAGTCATTGATAAAATAATAACTTATCTCTTCCTCAACAATCTTAACAAAATTCAGGTTTGACTGAAATCACTATCACTATCTACCTTTCCTTTTATTTCTTATCATTTTTGTGTTATAAATAAAATATATCACAAAAATTTTCTCCCCGCTAAAAACGTACAACACATTGAATGGAAAACAGACTAGTAGATGTTGTACCTTATATTGACAAGAAATCAAAAATCCACGTAGGGCCTTATTGTCAACAAAATTGCAGCCCCCTAGAATCCTTAAAACAGCTCCAATCCTAGCAAACATATGATGCATGTCAAGGCTTGGATAACTTACAAATAATGCAATACCATAGAAATTGATAGAGGCTCCATACTGCCCTTACCAAAATGCATAACATGTGTCACTAGATTTATTTGGTCTACCTTGAAATCCACCATCAGTTCCCTGCCTCTGAAAAGGAAGACACAATTAACCAAACTATAAGTGATCCATAAAAAATTCATGCACCAAAAGTTAACCAAACTTTAAGAGATCAATAAGGAAAGAAAACCAAGCCATTATTTGGGTGACATTTGCAAAAAATGTTCTTGAAAATGACCTTCAGCCAATGTTCTGTTAAAAACTAATCAGCTTATTTTGAAAGAGTTCAGAAGTACAAACCTGCAAGATCCAGTCAAGAAGCAATGGCACATCTATCAAAGAAGCTGCAGTACGACTTGAGAGTATATTATCTTCGATGAATCCCATTAATCGGAGAGATGCAATAGCACAGTAAGTTGCACCTCCTGTGACACTAAAATAAGTAATGTTGATAAATATCATTTAAGAATTAAAAACATTAAAAAATGGATGAAGACCACCTTTCAAGATGCATACACAGAACATAAGAACTAAGAGACAACAGCCAGAATCATTATAGTCAAGGACAATAAAATTTAAATTGAATGGGGCATGTGCAGGTTGTTATCATTGTGCCTGTTACATGAGCGGCCAATTTGAACTTAAGAGGATATAGGATTGCAACCAACTGGTTGGTTGGCAAGGATATTAGACTAATAAAGTCACTCCTACGATGTCATGTCAGTACTTCAGAGTCTAAAAGAAATGATGACTGTTTATTAGAATCATATAATTCACAATTCAAATCACATGATGTGATATGATTTGGCTATCCAGCTATTATTCATATAATGTACAAATGACTATGAATTTTACAATAAATGAATGAATCCGAGTGATTCCTTATCACAAATATGAATCACACAATTTAGTGATTCATTATTTTTTACTATTCTTTCACCTTTTCTAATAAAACAAATGGAAATGTCAAGCAAGTTTAAATTGTTAAATGAAAAGAACTGAAAGAGTAGTACTCTACTCAAGTCCTATTGAAAAAAGGGTTTCACACTGTCCCTCGCTCATTCTATCCACTGTATTTGGTTGTACTATTGCTCTATTTTCAGTCTTATAAAATAAAGGCTTGACACGCTCAGATATTACCCATGATATTGTTTTCATTATGTACCCAAATCTTAAGATTTGATATAACTTTCGATTCACAATTTGAATCGCAACTTTGATGATGAGACTAGTTCAGAAGGCAATACACAAATATATAAATGAAAGATACTCTCAACCATCAAAACCAATCTGTCGAGACAACCAAAGGAGAAGAAAGAAAAACATGCCAAAAAGTTAAAACTTTACACTCTTGAAATTTCATACTTAATATTAGGATTTCACGAGACAATTTTTAATCTTATGAAGAATATCTTCTAAAAAGAAAATTTAGCTTTGTCAGATAGCATCACCATGAAGTCCTAGATTTCAACCTCCTACCAACCAAGACTAACGAAAACATATATCAAACAATTCTATCATGTGATGAACAATAGCATACAAAAGACCTTCAGGCAAAAGATTTCAATACTTGTGCCTAACATTGCAAGGGCCCCTCTCAACACGGAATTACATACAAATTGTGATGAATGATTGTTTCAACTCACCATGAGATTCTGCACCAGGAACTAATCCAAAGCCACCATCATAAGACTAGAAAAAATACAAAAGAAAAAAAGATATCAATTTCATTTGTGTACAAACACATTTTCAACAAACATGTATGTCCAAAATTTAGTACAATCCTAAGATAATTCTCTTATCCCATCACCAGTTGACGCACTAGCTTCACATACCTGGCAACGTAATATGAAATCCTTGGCTTTCTCCTTGTCCATGCCACTCCAGTTATCGAGCATGAAACAGATGGCAGCTGATACAATCAAATAGATAAAATTATACAATATATCCACTATCCAGGGTTATTTATTAATCAACTAAATAGCTAGCATCATCATTTCATGTCTTTATTTCTCTTACCAGCACAATACACAAACCTAAGATCTGTTTCGCCTCCAGTGTGAATAGGAATGAAACTGCCAACATAGATCAGAAAGTTAAGGAATAAGAAGTAATTCCACTCAAGCATATCATTCGGGGTGTAAATTTTGACATAAACCTGCAGAACCAACCATATACTGCAAAACTGAAAATTTTGATTTGACCATTGCATAAGCACAGAGGCCAAAGTCTTATCCAAGTTTCAAAACCATACCTTCCATCAGGCTGTTGAAGGTTCCTCATAGAAGTCACAATTGATTCTGAATCAAGATTGGACAATTCATAACCAACAATTTTCAATATGGCAACGGCACAATAAGTACTTGCCAAGTGACTGTTGTTGTGAATCAAAACCTTCAAAAGAGGAAAAACCAACATAAAGAAATCAGGACCCTTCAACGCCAGGAAAAAAAAAAAAAAAAAAAAGCTTAGCTCTTTCAAATTCCAAATTTTTCCGTACTCCATTCTCATCTGGAGGAAACTGTGAGGTTCTGGACCCATGAAAGCCATAGAATTGTCCTGCAGCAAAACTCTTCAAATGGGTCAATTAAAAATCAAATTTTGGAGAGCAAATCCAACCCATAAGTGCATTTGAATACATACCATCATTGAGATCAGCATTGGCACCAGGTTGAGCTTGGAAGGACAAAACCCAACTGACAACAGCATCCTTGGCAACCTTAAATCACAAAACACACACACACACGCGCGAGGTTACATATGAACAAGGAATTGTAACAATAAGAGCAGCATAGGAATATGATGATTGTGTGTACTGAGTGGAGAGAGTTGAGGATGTCGAGTCCAGAGATGACAAAGTAAGCGAGAGTAAGGTGGTTGATCTCTTGGGATTCGTAGGGAGATGGGAGCAAATAGTACATCAACTCAAGAAACGTGACATGAACGTCTTTTTCCATCTTCTCGCGGCCACAACACTCTTCTTCTGTCGAATTCATCATTGCTGTGAATTCGGAATCGGAAACGATAAACGCTTAACGCACTCTTTTTAAATACACCATCCTCTGCTTGGTAAAGTTTGGTGGGTTTTTATTAAATTTCTGCTAATTTTATAATTTTCAATTAATTTTAACTCATAAAATAAAATGTGTTAAAAAAATATACAAAAGGCATCAAAATAAAAAATAAAAAGTACAAGTTTAAAAACACATAATTTATATATTTAAAAATATGTATGTATTATAAATTATAATTATCATATAATTTATAAATTTGAAAACAGCAACTTGGTTTTAAGTTAAAGTATTATGTAGGCTGGGAACTCCAACTTGGTTGCAGACCCCAACACTGTAAACCTGCTGTAGTTTTATCGAACAGGTGGTGTGCACATTCAGACCCAATGAAACGCAACAAAGCAACGATCTTGACATTCGCTGAGAAATGCAAGGTTCTTCCTCATTCTCTCTTTCTCTTAAACTTTCATACTTTCCTTCCCACGATGGCACCAGAAACATCATTCGTTTTCTGCATCTTTTCAACTCATTCATATATGCTGCCTTGTTATGCACGCAGAATATATTGGCATCAAACTGGCAAGGTTCCCTTAACACTATCAAAGCAGATGCCAAAGGAAGGTACCCTTTTTTATCTTCTCTATTCACAAAAAATATAACTTGAGCCCACCCTTAACTGTTTGCAAAACTAACATGTTTCTTATATATGACAAAAATAAAGGGCATGTGATGTGACGTGATGTGATGATTCTGTTGCAGTATTAGTACTTTGCTAATGGATTTTTGTTGTTTTTGCATGATTTCTACAGCAAGGGGGGTATCCATACATCTAAGGTCAAGTACATAGTTAGAAGGGGGCAGCCATACCTTTGGGTTCCAGAAAACGATTTGCATAATGTGGTATGTTGCTCTCTATATTTTTTTTGGGGTTACGATTGCTTCTTTCGCCTGAAATGTAGAAGAACGTGTTAGAAAAAGAAATAAAGAAGGCTACCATCTAGTGGAGGAAGTCCTTTTATTGTTTTTGTTTTTGCCTTCTGTTTTTTCCATACTAGTGTTAGGCGTGTTAACAAATCATCTGAATACATTGTGTAGTTGCAAGGATGACTCGTTTGATTTTTGTTGTATGTAGAACACAATCATTGATGAGCGTGGTTCATTTGCTGTGACCAGCCCCTTTCCAGGTCCACTAGGAGTCTTATTGAAATCATTGAAAAAGGTTGTGCATGGAATGTGTTTTCTTTTGAAAACTACAATATTATCCTGAGAAATATTTTGTACCCTAGCTTGATTCTATGTAAATAGCAATACTAAAGGGTTTGTCCTAATGGAGCCTGCTTTCAGATTCTCATATCATATGAGTTGAAGATATAAGGGTATAGTCTAATTGGTTGATTTATTCACATGGTGCAGTTACCAGTACGGATTGCTTTATCTGGGGATGTTCTTCCTCTTAAAGAAGATAAGGTAATGCCACACCAACTTTGTATATGCTTGCTCTTTATTGTTTCAGATTTGCTAATTTAGTTTACCAAAATAATGCCAGTCCTTTTAACTGAAAATCTCTAATTTTTGTAGCTTTTTTCTGCGTCTTTAAAATGCCCAAATAATTGCTGCTGCTCTGCTTCAGTAGAACTTTATCTTATATGCCTCTCTTCTGAATTTTTTAATGAAAGTGATTAAAAAAATTAATGGATTTATCATCACAACCACCTGTAGGTCTCCATCATGATCCATAATGAAACCTTGATTTGGGGGTAGGAAGATATTCTCAAAGTTTTGAAATTTGAATATTATTATATGTGAATCATTTGAACCAATAAAGCTGCACAGATTCAAACATTTTGTAGAGGATGTTAGCAGATATAGGGGAAACCTTATTGGGAAAATTTAATCCCCAGCAAGATCAATGGAAGTATGTTTAAATGGATAAGATAACATTATGACTCTGTTGCATGGTAAATTACTTGCTTGTTACTTTCAACATTATAATGTATATGGAATCTTCTTTCATTCCAAGAGCATGATTGTTCTTGTAATATCTAAATTCGGATGAAAGAAATTCACAGCATTTTGACAGGTCCTCATTGGAAGTGGGATGGTTAAGTGTTTATTTCCTGGACATTGTCTTCTAACTGTATCTCTATATTTGAATTTTAATTATCTGAAATTTTTTGTATTGTCTGAAATTTTTTTGCACAAATAAAGTACATTATGTGCAAAGATGATACTAGAAAAGATGGAGTTTTATATTATTTTGCTTATTTTATATTTTGGTTTTTTGAAACAAAAATCAACAGATCAAATACCAAAATGCTGCTGCGAAATGTTACTTTCACTTTTTTTCCACCATCTGTTTTAAATGTAAGCATTAGACTCCTATTTAGTATCCTACAGCTAGGTATGTAAATATTATAAAAGGTGGCTTATCATAATATTAGCAAGTGACAACAGAGTTCTATGTATTGCTGTAGAGTTGCTCTGGATTTTACGTAAGTTATTGGTCTTGGTGTAGGCTAAGTCTCTCGCAGATAAACTTCAGGAAGTCATACTATCTGAGCAAAAAGCAATCAAAGAGTTCACTTACACTGTTTCTGGAGTACTAAGTTCTAGTGCTAGCAGTACATCACGAAGTGATAATCTTCAGGATCTGTTGGGAGACAATGAAAAATACACCATATATAGGTTTAAAACGAGGTAAGAACTTGTATGTTTAAATCTATATCTTAAATCTTGACGCCCAAAAAAGATATATATCTTGAACAGTCATTTCACTAGATGAATGCAAAGCTCATATCTGGTTCTAGCTTCTAGGTTGACTCCTGCACCAATCCTGAATGGTTGTTCTTGTACAAGTTTACCATGTGAAATATCAATTTTTTTCATCTAATGTAAGAGTTTAATGCTCAGATCTTGCACATTTGTTGATGGCCTTGGAGGCACTTTTGACGTGGATATTGAAGATTTGGAAACATCCAGAGCTGATCCATTAGGTAAATACCTGGTTTGAAATGCATAAATGTAGTATCTCTGATTTTTGCAACAAAAGATTCACATCTATTATATTTTTCTTGTTTAGCACCATTTTCAGCAAAGATTATTGATGGGATTAACCAAAGTGAGGCTAGACATACAGCACTCATGCTTTTTTGTTTTGTTCACAAGGATGCTAATACAAAGGTAACTTAATGATCTTGATTATTCTTTATAGTTTGCAGTACCCCAGTTCTGCAGTTGGTCAATTGCTATCTTCTTGATTATAAGTGTGTGTGGTTACAAGATACATTAGTAATTATACTGCAAAGCATTTTAGAAGTAGAAAATAAGTTGTTTTTATAAAAGTTAAAAACTTTTAGATTGGATGTCTTCGTACCCCATTGTCAAAATTTGTGATGCATGCCTAATGCCTATCCTTCTAGACTATTATGGTAAAACTTGTATTGTTTCTTTTGGTTTGCTGATTTCATACCGCACTCATTTGATGAACTCTAAATCATGTTATCCGTGAATCTTACCATACCATATCATTTCCTTTACTTTTCTGTTCTTGTAATATGATGTTAAGAACTAACAAATCCAGCGGTGTTGTGTTAAGGATGCATACATGACATCGATTGATCGCAAGGGATTCGATGTCCTGGCAAAAGTTACTAGTCCTTTGAAGGATGGCATTGGTGGCTACCAATGGAAAGAATTCAGGTTCATGTTCAAGGAAGAGGCAAACGATGTTGAAATGTTCTGTAGTCAACTAGTCGAAATGGAAGAGGAGGTCATCAATAAGGTTTCAACCTCTAGTGGACTAAAATAGAAATGAGAATGATCTTGGTCGGATCTTTTTTTTTTGGTATATTTTTTTTGTCAAGTCTAGGGAAATGTATGTTTAGTTTTTTTAACCTTGTACTTTCTATGTTTTTCTTGATCAAGTATTACTGTACAAGGCTGTCACTTTTGGTATAATGCACTCTCAAATATTAAATTTACCTTTAGGCTCATACAGGTTTGGCTTGTTTACTACTATATTGCAAATTTAATAAACTGATGTATCATTTATGTATGAGTACATCTTGATGGAAAGGTCAAAGGTTTAAAAAACTGCAGGCTGCAGCTCCTGCTTTTAGAAACTCTATCTGTCCTGCAGATAGAATCTTGTAATGCATAGAACCTTGTAAATCTTACAGTAAATTATCTTGTTGAGTCTTTGGTGTCACATGGTATAACACATTGTATGCTCCCTCTCCAGTTGCGAACGTTTTTTTTTTTTTTTTTTACCAAAGTTGTAAACGTTTTCAAAAGTTTGATTTATGCATGAAAAATAAGTGGATAATGTTGATAGTCGAACCAAACTATATGAATTTAGAACATCTATCTAATTGCGTTTCTACTGAATTGACTATTGTCATTGAAGATTTGACATAAAGGAAAAGTTAGCTGTTGGCTACTGTTTGCAAATTATCTGCCATCTCAACACTATTGGTATGATCGGTTGGATGAGAAAAATGAAAAAACAATAGAAAAAACTTGAACAATAATGTATTTTATTTTATTAGTTGAAGAGAAAGTTAAAATAAAATGACTTTTAGATATGTAAATATGATTTTTTTTTTCATTTTGATTTAATACAAATTTTATCTTCCTCCTTATTTTCCCCCTCTAGACCAATCAGATAATAATACTAATGATATTACAAGATAAAAAATAAGGACTAAAGACCAAAAGTCACATTTTACAATATCAAAATTAGTAATTTCAAATTTTAAAGTTATAAATAATTTTTTTTCAGAAACCAAAATTCAAAAGTAAGACTACATATTTGTGTCATAAATAGTTAGTATAACACCATCAAATGACAATCATAATTAAATGGTGTTAAGTACTCATGAGGGAATAGACTAAATAAATATACTGATAGTTTAAATATTTTTTTACATCATCAAATGACAATCATAATTAAATTGTAATTTTATTTTATCTAGATTTTCTAATTAAATTCAATATTATTTCTAAATATTTTCATATCACTATTTTTACTCATTATAATAATGATAATATAAGCCTCAAGACAAACTAAACCTGTAGAAGTGACAACCAGAATCAGCTACAAAAATAAAATATCTTATTATTTTTCATAGTTTAATAAATTTTACCTTCTAACATAATTAAAAATATTTTATTTTAATATCTATATATATGCACTACATACTGTTTTTGTTTTTTTTGTCATTATAATTTTTTAACTTTATTTTTTAATTCTTATCACAATAAATAAGAGAAAATAAAACATGTATAAAAATAAAATGAATTAATTATAATTATATAAACTGAAATAAAATTTATGAAAACCAAATGAATATTTTAAAAAATAAAACATGTAAGTAGCTTCAACCAATTCATACTGTCTTGTATCAGCTAACATCTGCTACGTAATTTTTCGGGCGAGTCCTCTAAAACGAAGAAATACGCACTAATAATTATTATTAATTAAAAAATCAACGAGTTAGAACTTAGAACTACAATAAAAATAAATAAATTTCATATATGAAAATCTAAGATTAGTTAAAATAAACAGTTGACTTATTAATTATTATTACACTTTATTCTTTATTAAGTGTAATCCCTAATTTTTATTAATATTATTTTCAAGCTTAAAATGTGCGAAAACGACGTAGTGCATGTTTGGATGTTTGAGACATCTTTAAATAAACGTTTAGATGAATATTTATACAAATATACTGGTAATAACTTCGGTGTATAAACACCATTTACAGTCTAAAACGGCTTGATACTGAAATATTGCAAAAGTTGGATGCTAAAATTATGTTGTCCGATAGTTTTCAATTATCAAACCGACAAATTGAAATTGAAAAGAGCAGTACAATTCATGGAATCAAAATTCTATAGTAGCCTATACCCAAGAATTAACAAAACATTATTTTCTACCGATACTAACTAGTCATCCTCAAAAGAAAGATGGCAATGCTAAAATTGAATGACTTAATCGACCTCCTCAATCTTGGGGCCAGCACCACTTCCACCAGCAGGTGGAGCATCATCATCCACTTCAGGACCTGCACCAGCCCCGCCTTGGTACATCTTCGCTATGATGGGATTGCATATGTTCTCTAGCTCCTTCATCTTGTCTTCAAATTCATCAGCTTCTGCAAGCTGGTTCGTATCAAGCCATTGAATGGCTTGCTCAATTGCATTATCAATCTTTGTCTTGTCTTCAGAGGACAGCTTTGAACTTATCTTCTCATCCTTTACTGTGTTTCTCATGTTGTAGGCATAGTTCTCTAAGGCATTCTTCGCCTCAACCTTCTTCTTGTGCTCCTCATCTTCAGACTTGTATTTCTCAGCTTCTTGAACCATCTTCTCGATTTCTTCCTTCGACAATCTTCCCTTGTCATTGGTAATGGTAATCTTGTTCTTCTGCCCAGTTGTTTTGTCCTCAGCAGAGACATTCAAGATACCATTCGCATCAATGTCAAAGCAAACAGTAATCTGGGGAACACCACGGGGTGCCGGAGGAATGCCTGACAGCTCAAACTTACCCAACAAGTTGTTGTCCCTGGTTCGTGTCCTCTCACCCTCATAAACTTGAATCAAGACACCAGGTTGGTTATCTGAATATGTAGAGAACACTTGTTCTTTCTTGGTAGGAATGGTAGTATTCCTTGGAATCAACACAGTCATGACACCACCAGCAGTCTCCAAGCCCAGAGACAATGGGGTGACATCCAAAAGCAACAAATCTTGAACCTTCTCATTTCCTTCACCACTCAATATAGCTGCCTGGACAGCAGCACCATAGGCAACGGCTTCATCAGGGTTGATGCTCTTGCAGAGATCTTTCCCATTAAAGAAGTCCTGCAACAGCTGCTGAACTTTGGGAATCCTGGTAGAGCCACCAACAAGGACAACATCATGGACAGTGCTCTTGTCCATCTTTGCATCCCTAAGACACTTCTCCACTGGCTCCATACACTTCCTGAAGAGGTCCATGTTAAGCTCCTCAAACCTGGCACGAGTGATTGTCGAATAGAAGTCAATGCCCTCGAACAGAGAATCAATCTCAATGGTGGTCTGAGCAGTGGAGGAGAGTGTCCTCTTTGCTCTCTCACAAGAAGTCCTCAACCTTCTGAGGGCTCTTGGGTTTCCAGTAATGTCCTTCTTGTTCTTCCTCTTGAACTCTTGTACAAAGTGATTCACCATTCTATTATCAAAATCCTCTCCTCCGAGGTGAGTGTCACCAGCTGTTGCCTTAACTTCAAAGATACCCTCCTCAATGGTGAGGAGAGAAACATCAAAAGTGCCACCTCCGAGATCAAAGATCAAGACATTCTTCTCCCCAACACTGGTGGCTTTCTTGTCTAGCCCGTAAGCAATAGCTGCAGCAGTTGGCTCATTAATAATTCTCATAACATTGAGGCCGGCAATGACACCGGCATCCTTGGTGGCTTGACGCTGAGAGTCGTTGAAGTAAGCGGGCACAGTGACAACTGCATTTTTCACAGTTGACCCAAGGTAAGCCTCTGCAATCTCCCTCATCTTAGTTAAGACCATAGAGGAAATTTCTTCAGCAGCAAATTGCTTCTCCTCAGCCTTGTAATTCACAACAATCATGGGCTTCTCAGCAGCGCCAGAGATAACCTTGAATGGCCACAACTTCATATCACTCTGAACTGAAGGGTCGCTAATTCTCCTACCAATCAACCTCTTCGCATCTGCAAAATCACAATCCTCATTTATCAACAAAAACACCATACAACAACTCACAAATCAAACCACATTACAAACATTCAAAAACCATCCTAAATCAATGAAACAACTTTAATAAAATTCGCTTTAAAAAAAATAATCCGGAACAAAAATACTTTATAATATAATAAAAAAATAAAATACTCTAATTAATTTCGAATTTATATAAGTGACTTTCATAATTGTAACTAAACATAAATCATCTTTCTTTTAATTAAAAACCACTAAAAATAAATCAATATATTATTTTACATCATAATAATTTTTTAAATCTATGATAATACCGCCTTATATAGATATTTATACAAACCCTAGAGAACCACGTCCGTTGCCCAATAATTAACTAATTTTAATAAAACAATCCATTATTTTAAACAATTAAGAAAGAGAGACCAATACTTGCGATTTAACAACTGGTCAAAAGATATTAAATAACGACAACAACAACAAAAAAAAACGACGTAAAATTAATAAATGCAGGTTAAATTATTAAACACGCAATGGAAAAAGCGGATCTAAATGATGAATTACCAAAGACAGTGTTGATAGGGTTCATGGCGACCTGGTTCTTGGCGGCATCTCCGATCAACCTCTCGGTGTCTGTGAAAGCGACGTAAGACGGCGTCGTTCTGTTTCCCTGGTCGTTGGCGATGATCTCGACGCGGTCGTGCTGCCACACTCCGACGCAGGAGTAGGTGGTGCCGAGGTCGATTCCGATGGCGGGTCCCTCACCTTTTCCGGCCATTAGAATGGAATATAAGGGTTCGAGTTAAGAAGGAAGAAAGGGGTCACTAAACCTAATAAATGGAGTTGCTGTTGTAATGAATTGAGAGAGGGTTGGCAAGTGAGGTATATATAGGTTTGAGAGAGAGAGAGAAAAAAGGTCTAGAATGTTCCACACTTACGTGGGAACCTCGCCTTAACTTAAGCCGCTTTTGTGGACCCTTCTCTCAGCTTTTTCGTTCTCCCCTTTTGAACCGCGTCCTCATTGGACCAAACCACTAACGTCCACGCTTGGGCTTGCCATCATTGCCTATGCTTGGGCTCGGGTCTAACAGGCCCACGATATGATTATATTTTGAGATAATTATTACTTTATGCACCTATCTTTTTATATACGAGTTTCGGAACACCAACTTCAGAATAATAACTATGGATGCAAGAAGCAAAGTCCATATTCTCATAGAGTGCTCCTTGTGCTCGTAAGGTCCAAAAACGAATATATGATTAGCCTAATAAACATTTCCATGGTGCACAGGTCATTGTGTAGTAAATGTTTTTGAATTATGTCTTGAAACACTCATTAACAACACCCATATTGACATATTGTATAAGAGATTATTAATTTACTAAATTTGAGTCATAACTCAGATCATTATGTAGTCTTTTTATGATTCAAATTTTATGAAGAGGTGCTATTAATTACTAACAATCTCTAATAAACTAAAAAAAAAACATTATATTCTCCTATACCGGTATTTTTAATGCAAACTGGATCAATATATATGTTGGAAATCATGTATTATTGTATGTGTTTTTAACTTAAGAAAATATTATACAGTAATGGCAAGAAAATATTTTTCAACAGTATTATCTCCACTAATTTTATTTAATTTATCTAACATAATTTTATATTACACTAGTAGACCTTTTCATTAATAAAGTCGATTTATATTAACAATAAAACATGAATATTTAAGATCGCTCCCTTTTTAACAGATTAATACTTTTTTAACCAACAAAAGCTAGGTCATCATAGATAATAACTAATGCATAAAAAGAATTATTTTGCTTTTACTCTTAAAATGAAATAGTTTCAGTAAAAATGAGCTCATTGATTCTTCTGATTGCATACAATCAATGTCTTTCTTATTGAATGTAGTTTTGAAGACTCATTTGATTTACATAACAAAGTAAATAAGACTAGAAGAGACAATATCACTCTGGTTCCTAACTATTAGAAACTTTTGTAAAGTTTTTAGTTATCGTTACATATGTAAGATTCACAGCGTACGATATCACTTAAATATATACCCATATAGAGAATAAACTTAAAATAGTAAGAATCTTCGATGTAAATATATTAGTTGTTTTTGTTGCAACTAATTTTTTGGTCACCATATATATTATGAGTGTTGGAGTATGCACTTGTACACTAATCTTTTCCTGAAAACCTAAATTTATAATCACTTTTAGGTCTCTCTTAAATTTAAGACACCAATCAAACCATCTACGTATTGATTCTTGCATAGAATTTGATAGGTAGCAATAAATGAAATCAGTTTCTTATATGCTCAAGACTAGGCTTCTTCCTTCTTTTGTGCCTAAAAGAAAGTAAAAGAAACACGTCTTTCTTTCATCCGAATAAATGTTACAACATTAAAAGGTTGCATGCCCACGTTTATACACAGTAGAAGATATACGCATAATAATTTAAAAAGCAACGAAGAATCTAAGAGATATGATTGAGCTACTGTGGGGGCAACGTTAACGAGAGGCCTTGGAACGAAGAAGCAATAGATTGGAATCACGGAAAGAAATAGAGAGAGAAAGAGAGAGTGATCATGTTGAAGGACGTCACAAAAAGCAAAAGCTGCTAGGGTAACACAGAGAACATATTCACGCCTAGACATGTGGGCATCAGCAACTATAGTAAAAGCTTGCATGGGTTTCCGAGCCACCTTTAGTTGCTACTTCTTCTTCGAAGTTTCTTTGCTTTTTATATTTCATCAGATTTGTATTATGATATGATATATATGATATATGATATATATATATGATATATGATATACATTACCATAGGCATATAAACATTTTTGTGGTCACTACCCCATCAACATATACTACGACCAACCGACCAACAAAAACCAATCTTCACAGCTTCCTCCAACAGAGAGAGAGATTTGCTTTTTTGACTATGTTGTGACACCTTTATTCCTTGTAAGCAAGCAATTATATATCTAGCTTTGAAATTTGAAAAAAGCAAACCCAAAGTCCCAGATTCCATGTCTAAAGCTTCTGGTCGAAATTATCATATGAAATGAATGACATCTTAATCATAATTAGATTATGACAAATATGCTTTACACCAGATTGATTTCAATGTGCCCTTATTTTATTATTTAATCAACAATTTGTAACAAGAAAATTAAAGAATGGAAGAGGAGGGCTAAGGAAGTATTAGCCAGCTTCCCATCAATATAAAGATGTAGAGAAAAAAAAGGAAAAAAAAACGTAATGAATGATAAAAAAAAAAAAAAAAAAAAGAAAAAAAAAACGTAATGAATGATAAAAAAAAAAAAAAAAAAAAGAAAAAAAAAACGTAAGAAAGGAAAAAAAAAAAAAAAAAAAGTGCATGTGATATTCTTTCAGTTTTTATAATTTAAATTTAAAAAAAAGTCCCCCTTTATTCATTTCATTCTTCCTGTTTTTGTCTTGTACCTTTAAAGGTTTAAATTAGCAATCTATCATTTGATTATATCTCCTTTGTTTTTTTCTTGTTCTTTTGATAGTTCTTCTATTTTTGAAATCAATGAAGTCATGCATTATCTAGAGTTATAGTGCATGAAAGAGGAGTTGCACGGTTTTGAGCGGTATTTTGGCGTTTCCTTTCCAACAAATGAAACATGATATATCCTCCTTTTCCATGGCTACCGCTCTGAGTTCACATATAAAACAAACAAGTACGAAAGATCCATTTGGTCAATTTCCTTATAATTTCATAATCATTTTCGACTCCAAATTAGTACATATTCGTATTACTACAATTCAACCAAATCAATGTGACTCTCATGGTCCCAATTTGGATGTATTCAAATTGCTTTTTCCGTGAAAGGTTAAAAATAAGTAACCCGAGAAGAAAAAGGATTCTTAAAATATGAGACCAGGAGAAGTCTAGGAATTTGAAGTTTCTATTTAGATGATTGAAAGAGTAAGTTGGACGTACTAGCAGCAGTCGGTCAGATATCAAGCTAGAGCTTAAACATGACAAAATTAATGCACATATTTCATGAAAACTGAATCATCATGCACGTTTCATTAATTAGATAGCCCACCAAAAATGGGAGTCTCCCTGCTTTAAATTTTGCATTGGCCATGAAGAGGAAAATATATATATTAATAACAATATATGAAAGATTGAGAGAGCTATAGTTGGTGGCTTTATTACAAGTGCTTGAAATTCATCTTCAAAATTCATTTATTTCATTCTCTCTCTCTCAATATACATTTTATTTTGACTTTCTAACTATGATATATATAACAGAATATATTTTAAAAACTAGCTGACTGAGGATCCTCCTACAATGAATATCACACATGACAATATTGAACTGGATAATTTCAAATCACCAAAAAAAAAAAAAAAGTCCTATGCATCTTTATTGGTTTGATATAATTTGTTAAATTACTATATATAGTCAAATTAATATGAGCATGACCGTTACTTCGTTTCAAATGTTAGCAACTTTCTAGTGCCTGTATATTACACATATACGATATTTTTTTTCTTTTTCTTTTGTGAAAGAAAATGATAGTAATTAAGGATATTGAGTTGGAAGAAACTAAGAAAAGGATAAGTAGTCTAGACACATTAGTCTGTTAAGTTGCTTAAACTCACATTATTCCTGGTTCTAATTAATTTTTAATAATGAACAATATGACATCTCATTACATAAAAAGGCTTCTAGGCTAGTTTACATAGCTTCACACAATTAGTAATATCAACTTAACCGCTCTTGTCATCGCAACACATGCATATAAACAAACACACCAATATACTTTCGCTTAACACTTTTTCAAACTTTGAGTACAACAAAATATATCAACGACATGATCCATCGACGGAAAAAGGAAATTACTTCAAGAGTTGCGTACCATTTTCTCTCGTCTTGATCAATGTAACACAAAGTGTACTGATCATTCCTTCTCCCCATTTATCCTCGTAAGACAAGCCTCGTGCATAAAGGGTGGTAGAATTCCATTCCAATGTTAGCAAGTGATATAATAGGTTCTTCTAACTCGGTCTTATACATTCAATCATTCTTTTCTATGATCATATAAAAATCTGTAGCGACTAGGAAATTAAGCAAAAGCTGTAGAATTCAAGTAGTTTAATTCCAATGATCACAACAAGTGGTTTGGTGAGGGAGTGAAACTAGGAACTTCACTCCATGCATTGCCACTTCCGTTCCAAAGTGCATCATTTCCCGAACTACTCATCATCAAGAGAGTTTTTGGCAAACTCAAACCTTGACTTTCTTCCAGTTTTATTGTGTTAATCTGTTGAGGCATTATTCCACTTACACTAGAAATAGAATCCATCTTAGAACGAATATTAAACCGGCCTCCATCCTTTGCATAACTTGGCGGTTCACCATTATTGTTTTCTCCACCAAACTGAAACACCCCAATTTGTGGCTCCAAATTAGTACTACTCAAGAAAGGGAACTGTTGATGTTGAACTTGTTGCAGGTTGTTCAACCTCCATTGCTCACCAAGGCCATTTGATGACAACAACATAGCCCCACCACCACTATTACCAAGTGCTGAACTAGTTCCAATTTGAAACTCAACATTGTTGTTACTAGTGTTGCCATTTCTAGCCACCAAAGGTGTTGTTGGAGTCACCCCAAAATGAGATCCAATGCCCCCAGAAACGTAGTCACTATTATAATGATGTAAAGAGGTCAAGAATGGAAATTGAGTTGGTGTTGGAGTTGGCATATGAGCCATCATCACATTATGATGATCATTGGTGCAGCCACTAGAAGAAGAATTAGCACTTGCAGAGTTGGAACCTGTTGCAGGTTTCATAGGAGACTTTGATCTACCACTTCTTCCTTTGCTTCTTTTGTTCCTTCTACAGCCACCTCCAACTGGCACGTTTCTGAGTGCACCTCCTCTGGTCCAGTAACGACGGCAAGTCTTGCAGAAGTGGCGAGGCTGTGAAAGACTGTAGTTGTTGTAGTAGCAAAACTTGGTGTTTGTAGATTCACACCGTGGACATTTGAGAGCTGCATCAGGTTGGTGCAGCTTGGCCATCCTGGCTCTATCGGCCATCGATCCTGGTCTGATAGAGCCCTGATAGCCACCACCTCCAACCTCCGCTGCCACTGTTGAGGGTGGCAGCGGTGATAGAGGTGGTGGAATCCGAGGATCCTGGTTGCCAATTCCTTCTGGATGATTAGGTTGCTGTGAAGTTTTTTTACAAGTGTGAGCCAACAAATAAAAAGAACTACATATAATTGAGTGATATTCATGTGTACACACATACAAAGAGTATATTCAGGGGGGAAAAATAAAAGATCGATAAAGTGTATGTGTAGGAATATCTTATATCTGATTAATTGTATTCTTAGCTTTATTGATGAAGAAGCTATAAAAAAAAAAGGGAAGAGAATGAAAGAATTAATCCAATCCTTACCTGTTGTGACCAGTTGGGTGGATCTAGATAGATTGGAAGGGACGGGAAGACCATAGCTCTTGTTAATTAGAGAGCTTTCTTTCTCTTTTGTAAAAGTTTGATGGGTTCTTTGGTGGTGTGTGTGGGTGGAGAATCACATCAGCATGAGAGAGTTGCAGAGAAAGAGATCACAGAGGGACGGGAAAAAGATAAAGGAGCTTGTGGGGGTGTGTCTATTTAATTTACTTTTCTTCTTAATTTTTTTTTTAATATAAAAGACATAAATATTTGGATAAAGATAATCTTGATTAAATCAGATATATGATTATAAACAACAAATTTCTTCTTCTAAATATTTAATACAGTTTCATATTTAAGTTTCAAATTTGAGATCACTTATTTTACTGGAACATTATTACTATAGATGTTTGTCTTTACATTAATTTATTCTTAATATTTTTTTATCTCTCCTCTTTTTGTTTTATTAAATAAAATTATTGTGGGATTATGGAACTCACCAAGCGAGTTTCTTATTCTATAAGCACCTTTCTCTTATGCTTTTTACTGTGGCATTAACACTAAAGACTTCTCTCTCACCAATCGCCATGCATGTTATGACTTAGAGAAGCCCTAGCCCTAGGTTTGGATTAACATAATAACATATTGTATAGTATTTTGAACTATGAGGTTTTTGAGGACTTTAAAAGTATTTTAGAATAATAATTTGGAATTTAAAAGTGAAAAGGTGATGAGTCATGGACTCATGGTGGGGAGGTCTTCGGTGGATGCGTCACAATCGAATGTACCTTTGTTTCCCTTCCGCCAGCTCTCCTAAAGGAAAAAAGTAGTCATTATTTATTTTATTCTTTATGTAATTAAAATTTATTTTGTACTAGCAGCTTTTTCCCTTTTGTGAAAAAATATTCATTAATACGTATGTATCATAAAATTTACATACCTTTTGCATATTGTGATATTTATTTATACTTTTATAGCACTTGGTCCTACACTCATTCGACTAAAATCGATTAATATATATTAATAGTAAGACTCGGTACCCTTATAATCTTACGAAGAGAGAGTGGTATAAATTAAAACTCAAACCTTTTGAAAAAAATATGTAGAATATAAACTAGCACGGACCAAAATGAAACTTTATTTATAGATTATTATATATTCTACACCCTTGCTCTCATTCCCACCGTTCTTATGAAATACTTATAAGTTGAAGGGTATATTAAGACTTGGAAGTTGGAAGTTGTTTTATATATATTATAAATTAAGGGAAATGAAAAGCAAAGTTAAATATATGGAGAATCACCAATATATTAATCGTAATTAATTCTATAAAAATTACCGTCAGTTAATTTAGATTAAAAAAAAAAAAGAACAACTGCAACAGCATGAGAAGAAGAAAAAAAGAATGTTCATGCACTTTAACTTTCATGAAGTTAAATGAGACTTTATATCAATTCATCTTTCATTTGTTACTTAATAATGAATTGTGTTACCACTAAAGTTATGTATATTGGTCGTCTGCCAAACCATTGAAATTGAAATGGAAAATTGTGAGTCGAAAGTGATGGAGGCTTGTGGTCACGTAGAGAAATTAAACGTTCAAATTAATATCCTTGTCAATCTTTAAGATATTTTTTTTTGGCTGGTTAAAGTAAAGTGTAAGATTGTGTATGTGGTTACAAAATTAAAATGATACTGTGTGAAAACAATTTAGTGCTTGGAAGAAAGATTATTGTAAACACGATCCAATGTGAAACCTTAGGAAAAAAAAATTAAAACATCACTTACTCAAATTTTGAATTTAAAGAAAAAAAATTTCAATTAATTCCTTATTAAGATTACAAATGTAAATATTTTTTTATCTAGACCACTATATCTTCTACCGGAAATAATCTCTTTCAAGTTAAGTAAGACTATCATAATCGACAAACAAATGTAAATATTCTAGTCCTTCCATTATTTTTGTTCTACTTTTTTAAGTACATATTTAGTCCATGAAAAATAAATGTGAATTAATTTAGCCTGCAAAAGAATTATTATTAGTAATTCATATTGACCTTTGAAAATATTAACTAAAATAAATATAGAGGATTATTATATTTGCTAAAGAGGATTATTCAACAAATAATTGAGTTAAATAACTTTTTAATAGGATGAAATTAGATATATTTGCTAAAGATAAATTATAATCTCCCTCTCCCCTCCCAGCCACCCTTTCTTACCCGGATAAATTAATGCTCGATTTTTTTTTTTTCATCTTTAAAAGTATTTTTTTAAGAGATTATTATATTTAACATTTAAATCTATACATGTAGAAGATTTATCTTGTGAGATGATTTTTCATGTGATAGTAAGAAAAAAAATATATTCACCTTTAGATTTTATTATGACTGAGTAAAAGATATAATTTATTTGAATTTTTTAAGATGTCATGCATGTGACCTTTGAAATAATCATATGACAATAAAAAGTGTCATTTTTGTTTTTGTTTTTGTCTATCACTCAGTCACTGTTAAAAGTAGCAAAATACGTTGGGTTGATTGACTCGATATAAATTCACTCAATGTAAAGTAAGACTTCAATTTTAAGACAGGCTAGGGTGGACCATTGCCATGGATGGTGTATGGTTATTTCTTGCAATTGGCCTAACATGAATCTATTTGATGAAATGTTGATCTTGGTTTTTAAATTTAAACACATTAAATACGAGCCATTTTAGCCAAATTCAGGCTTATCCCACAAAAACTTGCATAAATTGAACCTTAATCAAACTTAGACCTTACTTTAGAAGGTCAAATTGAATCTATTTTTTTCTTGCTCAACCCGCTATATGCGCCCTGTATTGATTTTGTAATCTTCTTAAATTGAACTTCCTTGACTCGAGCTTAATTAATTTTAGTGAATAAATTAGATCTAAACCTTTTTAATTCGATTTGATTATGGTCTTATTAGGGTTGAGTCTATTATATATAGCCTATACAAATTGGATTTTTATTGGGCTTATGCCTCATTTAGAAGCTCAAACTGCTGTAGTTTATGACTCATAAAGTTACAACTAGTTTGGTTTAATGTAGGGTTTGTAATTTAAATTTTGAGTTTGATCCACTCATTCTCCACAAAACACATAAAATAAAAAAAAACATACATTTTTTTTATCCTAGCTACTTGTGATTCTTTTATCACAAATTCCCGTAAAAGATTCTTGCATCTTTTAGTTTTAAAATTGAAAAAAAAAAACTGAAATCACAGACTAAAAAATAAAAATAATTACTTTTGTTGGAAAAGCTTTTTATAAATTGTAAACTATTTAACGGTTATTGATCATGACAATTTATGATTAAATTTAATATCGGACAAGTGATTAAAGTATGATAAATATCAGCACAATATAATGATGGATCATATATAAAAGAGCAATTCTAAAAATTTATGATAATATATACAAATATAGACCGGTTATGTAATCTTTATACGACATTTGATTAGAATTCAATGTATAGCATGCAAGGTCCCACTTGATTTTACCAAAATTGAAAATTCTGTATTTTGAAAAGTGTTGAAACAAAATATGAGGGAGACAGATGAGGGAAAAAGAATGGTGGAAGTTGTGGGCAAAGCCGCCAGTTATTGTGGGGAGGAAGAATGAATGGCAGTAAACATACAAATGGTTGTTAGAAGAAGAGGGAGGGGGGGACTCTAACTTTACTTAGCCAAGTCACCCTCCACTGTTTGATGAAGGGAAAAGAAGAACACACACCTATTTTGGGGGTCTACAGAATGAAACAAAGAGAAATATATAATATATAAGAATTTACTTATTTTAAGAATAAATTTACTATTAAGTTTATTATTCAATAATTTATGTCTTACGTTAAATTTAAAGTTATTTGATATTTTATTTCATTAATTTAAATTAATATATAAAATAATTATTCACTCAACTACTTATTATCTATATTAAATTTTAATAATTTAATCGTTGACTTATTTTTAGAATAAATAAATCTTTTTTCAACAATACCTAATTTGATACAAGATTTTATTTGTTGAACTCAGAATAAGCAAAAATTCATTAGAAGAATCTCATCTTTTACATCAAGAAACTTCTTTAAGTATGTATGTCCACTATTATAGGATTTTATAATAACAAGAAGTGTTAAACTCACTTCATAAAAAATACAAGTTGAGACTAAATCCTATATTATTTGTGCTAACCCAGACGATATATATATATATATA